TTAAGTGAAGTCCCCTGGGTCTCTTTAAATAGGCTTGATTGGGCTTGGACTCTAAATATTCAGTTGATAGAATCTTTTATTTTATATCTTCCAAATAACTAAAAGATTTAAAACATTATTTGGAAGATATTTTCTGTTGATATTCCCAATTTAAATTAATTCAACAACTGAATTTTATTTTTTTATCTTTTCTGACTTTCTAAAATTACACAAATGCCCTGAAATTTCCTCTATCTGCACTTTAGCCCCCTTTTTAATTGCTGAAATTGCAAGAAAGACCCATGTTTGACCATCCTTTGACCAGATTTGACCCAACTTACACGCACCAATAAGGGCTTGACATGTGGCAGATCCCACTACACCCAAAATTAGGGTTTGCCAGATTGGGGAAAAAGTTTCCCCCTGCACCGTGCTGTTGCTGGAGAAGAAGCTCTTCTCCTCTTCGATGCTCGATGGTGATGAAGATGAACTCATGAGGGGGTGCGTCGCGATTCTTGATCTGAGTTTCTTTGCAGGTTCTGGTGCGGTGATGGGTAGATGATGGCTTGGTGGTGTCGATGTGGTGCGCGATGAAGGATGACGACGATTTCTGGGTTCTTGGGTTTCCTTTGGTTTTTCTGAGTGTAAGTGGTAGTTCTCGCAGAGGAAGATGACGGTGTCGTGTGAGAAACGTTGTGTCGCGACAGCCATGGAGATGCGAAGAAGATGAACGGAGGTTGTGGATGATGCGGTGCAGAGCTTGCGTCAACGGAGGAGAAGACGAAGATGGAGGTGTGATGGTGATTCGCGACGGAGGCGGAGCGACGCGACAAGGTTGCAGATGGTGCTAGAAAGTCGCGCCTTGGTGGTAGTTGTTCGGTGACGAAGCGACGCGGTGGCGCGGTTGATGATGGCGGCTTGACCTGTATCCGTGGCGACTAGCGGGAATGGTGGTCGTGGAGGTTGCGGCAACGGCGGAAGCGGAACTCTTGCGTGAAGGAGAAAGTACTCTCGTGGTGGTGTTGCTGGCGGTGCTTGGTTGCGGCAAGATGGTGACCGACGACGGTTGTGTGTGACGGCTCGACAACGCTGAGGTTGGCGGCGGAGCAGCGTGGCGGCAGTTGACGACATTGGCAGCTAGGGTTTCTGTGGAGAAGGTGGAAGATGATGCTCATGGGTTATGGTTGAGGTGGCGGCACATGGTTGGCTAGATCTGTGTGGGGAGGATTTGGACACGTGGCATGATCTGGTGGAGTCTAGCTTAGGAGGGGTATAGGTAGGGAAATTTAGGAGGTGTATTTAGAATAGGGTTACTGTTTGGCTTAGTATTGGGCTCTTTAAGAGAAGAAGGGTGTATGTAGGGAAATTGGGAGGTGTAAGGGTAAAAGTTGTCTGTTTGGCCCATCTGTACATTATTTTCCAAATAAAATCTGATTTTGGGCCTTGAATTGCCATTTGGACCAATAGAACTTATAATTTCAGCTGCACAAATAAACGTAAGAACATCCAAGAATATTTTATGCGCTAAAAATCATTTTTTACGTCTCTTTAATTCCCAAACCCAACAATTCCAATCATCACAAATTCACTTAAAATCAATCATTTAAGCACAATTATTCTATCGAAAATCTGAATCTTAAAGCATAAATGTGGGCATAAATATGCACTCATCACAAAGATACTGCCTCGGTTGGTAGGATGGATCGAGGCATATAAGCCTTTCTAATAAGTGAAAGAGGAAATTTTTCCCCAAATGCCTCATTCAAGCCAAGAAAACCTCGCAGCTCTACTCTTCTCCATTTCTCGACAATGCTGCGATGGCAGTGAGAGTATGCGATGGTGCAACGATGGTGGTGAGAGCTCGCGATGGTGCAGTAAGAGAGCAGCGACGATGCTACAATGATAGTGAGAGTGCAACGACGGTGTGGCTAGGGCGTAGTCGGTGGAGCAGCAATGGCACGACTTAGGGAGGCGTTCTTCCTTTCGTTTTCATTGGGCTTGGTGGAGTTTCGCGAGATCGGGAGGAAACTCTTTTCTCATGGCTCAACGAGGACGCGACGGCGTGGTGGTGGTTAAGCGCTAGATCTGCGTTTCTCTTCCTTGGGTTTTTGGTTTTGTTTCTCTACAGGTGGATGATGAAATGGATAGTGTTTGCAGTTTGGATTTGCCTCTCGAATTGGGGTTCTGCTTCTTAGTTTTCTCTACGGCTTCTGATTGCTCGCTGGGAAAGGTCTTGGGGTGGATGATGATGATTGTGGTTGAAAATCTGGGTTGTTAGTATAGGTTGGAGTTTGGGTGCCACCATGATACTGATTCGTGATAATCAGAGGAAAGGTAGTGAAAACGCATTGATGGGTAATGTTAGTCCGAACCCGTTATTTCAGAGTGAGTCTTTCGGGCATTACTACCCTGACACTGAGCACGACTATACTATGATGGAGAAGAGACAACTATTCTTGAGAAGCTATCGATTCTGTCAAAATAAGAGTCTAGAAGAGAGTGTGAAAGGCTCTTTGGTTCGTGTCAAGAAGGTTTTGTGGCTAAGGCTGCGATCTGCTAAGAAAGTCAGGAGGTTGGTGTTTTCAAGAATCAGAATAAAATGCGGCTTCTATTATCGTAGGAGAAGGTTTTCACGCCTTCTCAATGCCCACAACTGCAAAATCGACTCTTCCTTTTGTTTCTAGTAGTAGCACCATTGTGCATCCACTCACCACAATTGAGGAAAACACACACAAAAAAATGTTTTCATTTCATGATTCATCAGTTACTACGTGTAGTCTTTTATCGTGTATTACAAAGACATGTTGGAAATTAGAACAAGGAAATAGATATATTGCACATATTGTTTTATTTTTTTACTACTTAGTCTCAAAACTGTGTTTCCGTCTGTTTTCTTCCTTCTGTCATTCATGTTTTCTTTCCTTCTTTTTTTCCAGCACAATCATAGGTTTTGTTTATATGTACTTTATTTGTTAAGTTTGTGGCTTCATACTTTCCATTGAACAATGAGAACTCACAGGTACCGACCATTCGGCCTCAACAATTCAGCCATTGTGGACAAATTTGGCCTCAACAATTTGGTCATTCGGCCTCAACTGTTCGGGCATTCGACCTCAACCATTTGGTCATTCAGCCTCAATTGTTTGGCCATTCGGCCTCAATTGTTTGGCCATTCGGCCTTAGGTACTTAGCCAAATTTGGACTGAAGTGTTCAGCCTCCACCGTTCGACCATACCTTAGCCTCAACCTCTCGGCCTCCCATGGCCTCACAGGTACGTATTCAACCTCAACCTCTTAGCTAAATTTGACCTCCAGTGTTTGGCCACAACCGTTCGACCATTTCTTAAGGAATCCCGGGTGGCCTCACTGAAGGTCGGCGACCGTGGATCTTCATTAAAGGAATCCCAGCAGGCCTCACTGAAGGTTGACACCCGTGGATCTTCACCAAAGGAATCTCGACCGACCACACCAAAGGTCGGCGACTGTGGATCTTCACCAAAGGAATCCCGACCGGCCTCACTGAAGGTCAGCAACTGTGGATCTTCACCAATGGAATCTCGGCCGGCCTCACCGAAGGTCAGCCCCCATGGATCTTCACCAAAGGAATCCCACCCGGCCTCACCAAAGGTCGCCTACCGTGGATCTTCACCAAAGAAATCTCAGCCGGCCTCACCGAAGGTCGGCTACCGTGGATCTTCACCAAAGGAATTCCAGCCGGTCTAATTGAAGGATCAGTAGCGTATATAGCTCAGCAGACAAAGGCAAGACCCGTTTTTCCAACCACCTATTGTGATCAACGAACAGAGAGGATAGAAACAAAAACTAACCGAAAAATTTGTCTGTATCAAGAAGGTCATGCACAAAACCCCCTTCGTAGAATAACATTATGCTCGGGCTTGGGGGACTTGTATATCGTACGGTCCTCCCACATGACCGTACGATCCTACCACACGACCATCCTCTCGTACGGTCCTCCCATGGCCATCCTCTCGTACGGTCCTCCCATGGCCATCCTCCCAGGACGACCTCCCAAGTCGTCTTCCGTCCTCCCATGGTCGTCCACCTAGGTCATGCCCACTAGTAATGACTCATTAAGCCCTTAATGCAGATTAAGGTGTGATTGAGTCGTCATTAGACCAGCAAAAGGTAAAGACCCATCACTGACTAGTATAAATAAAGGTCCTAGGTATGACTTTGAGGACACGATGCACAATATATGCATTACTTGTTGTGCCAACTACATTACTAACTTGAGCGTCAAAGTGCCTTTGACAAGAACCCGCCCCCATGGCTTGGAGAAGGAGGAGGAAGAACGAGCAATACAACCTGGAGTGCTTTGAGCAACGTCCGTCCGCCTGCCTTGAGCAATGTCTGTCCGATCTTCAACTTGGAGTGCTTTGAGCAACGTCCATCCTCTTTGAGCAACGCATGTCCGGTCTTCAATACCGAGAGTGCTTTGAACAAGTGATCTCAATTGAGATTAAAAAAAATAAAAAACACTCCACTGCCTCGGTTGTCTGTGCACCGAGGCAAAATCTGAACCCTTTTTACTCGGTTTAGAACCGAGACAAAAAGTCTATCCTTTTTACCTCGCCTGTGTATGTCTCGGTTGCGAAACCGCTGCCTATAAGCGAAAATAACCATTTCCGTTGACTGCAATAATTACTTGTATGTTTGAACATGATTTATTTTTTTTTTTGGAGCGAGTGTAAATCAACTACAAAAAATTATTTTGAGAAAATGTTCCGACAAAATTATCAATGTGACGAAAAAAATATTTAAAAACTCTTATCACACTTAATTTTTAAAACCAATGATTAAAGTATTAGATTTTTTTATTTTGTATACCATAATTGACTATTTAGGATAGAAAACATTAAATTTAATTACTACACATAACTTGATAACCTTTTTATATAATTTTACTATAAAAGTGATGTACTAGAAGATGTAATAAATGATTTTAAAATCATTTTGTTATCTAATACATTTAAATATAATTGCAACACTTACTATAAGTGTGTTTATCTTTTCTTGTTCAGGTTTAAGAAAGTTGTACATGTTGGACTAAATTGATGGAGTGTCTCTTGGGTTTCGCATCTTCTCTTTCAAGAGATTTAGTATGTGGAGCATTAAATCAATTACGTTATCCTTGTTGCTTTAACAATTTCGTCAAAAGGCTCGAACAAGAAGAGAGCGATTTGATTATAACGAGGGATAGTGTCCAAAAATTTGTTGCGCAGAGCAAGAAACAAACGAAAAAACCTAGTGAAATTGTGGACAAGTGGCTGGAAGATGCTAACGATGATGTATACAATGTGAATCAGTTGCTGAAAGAGGCAAAAACAAAAAATCATTGTTGCTTTGGGCACTGCCCAAATTGGATTTGGCGATACCATGTTGGAAAAAATTTAGCAAATAAAACTATGGACCTCGAAAAGTTCATTGAAAGTGGTAAAAAATACGTGCCATTTGACCGGATCACTACGCTTCCTTCAAACACCCTTGATACTCTTTTGGAAAAATGCATGAATTTTGAGAGTAGACAATCGGCATATGAGCAACTATTGGATGCAGTGAAAAATAAAGATGTTTCCATGATTGGGTTGTATGGGATGGGAGGTTGTGGTAAAACTACATTAGCAATGGAAACCAGGAAGTTCGTTGAAGCAGAACATCTTTTTGACAAAGTTCTTTTTGTGCCTATTTCTAGTACAGTGGAAGTTCGAAGGATCCAAGAAAAAATTGCAAGTTCAATACAGTTTGAATTTCCAGAAGCTGAAGAAATGGAAAGAGCCCAAAGATTATGCTTGAGATTAACTCAAGAGAAAAATATTTTTATAATTCTAGACGATGTGTGGGAGAAGCTTGACTTTGGTCGTATTGGGATTCCTTCTTCTAATCCCGGCTGCAAGATTCTCATTACCACTAGATCAGATTCAGTTTGTTCTTTAATGGATTGTCAAAGAAAGATTTACTTGCCAATTTTAACGGAGGAAGAAGCATGGACTCTTTTCCAAAATAAAGCATTTATATCAGAAGGCACCCCTGATACCTTAAAGGGTCTGGGAAGATTAATTTCCAATGAATGTAAAGGATTGCCGGTTGCCATTGCAGCTGTTGCTTGTAGTTTAAAGGGAAAAGAAGAGCCGGTATGGAGGGTTGCATTGAATAAATTGAAGCATTCTAAGCCAATAAATATTGAAAGAGGTTTGACTGATCCCTACAAGTGCTTGCAGTTGAGCTATGATAATTTGGATACTGAAGAAGCTAAATCACTTTTGCTGTTGTGCTCTGTGTTTCCTGAAGATTTTGAAATTGAAGTTGAACTTTTAACAAGATGTGCAATAGGAGTAGGTGTAGTTGGAGAAACTCTCTCATATGAAGAGGCAAGGAATGAAGTGATTGCAGCTAAAATTAAGCTTGTTAGTTGTTGTTTGTTGTTGGATGCAGATTATTAATGTGTCAAAATGCATGACTTAGTTCGTGATGTGGCCCACATAATAGCAAAAAATGAGAATATGATGATCAAGTGTGAAGAGCAAAAAGATGTTATTGTGGAACAAAATTCAATCAGATATCTATGGTGTGTGAAATTTCCAAAGGATTTGGATTGCTCAAATCTTGAGTTTTTATTTTTACGGACAAAGATGAAAGAACTTGATGGGATTTTCGAAAGAATGGGAGTGCTCAAAGTTTTGATTCTTGTCAATGATGAGGATGGAAAAACTCCATTGTCAACAGTATCTTTCAATACATTAACAAATCTTCGAGATCTATTAATTTACAATTGGGAATTGAGCGACTTCTCATTTTTAGGCGGTATGAAAAATCTTCAAAGTCTCTCGTTATTTTATTGTTTACTGCCTTCATTTCCTGAATTACAAACCAGTGTTGCAATTACACCAACAGCCTTAAAATTGTTAGAGTTGAATGAATGCGACATTAAAGTGAAGAATTTTGAAGTGGTGAAGAGAATCCCGCTTTTGGAAGAGTTGTACATTATAGATATTGAAGGACAATGGTATGCTAACAGTGAAGACAATATTGAATTCTTTAAGACGTTTAGTGTACCTGAAACTCTACAAAGGTATGGAATTGTATTAGGATCTCGTTATTTTGATGGTGGTAATTTTAAAGAATTTTCCTCATATGATAGAACTTTATTACTTAATTATTTTGACGTATCAAATGAGGTAATGAAGGGTTTGGCAAAAAATGCAAAGGATCTATTTGTAAGAAATATTCACAGAGGCGCAAAAAGTATCATCCCTGATATATTTCAAATTGAAGGAGGAGGTTTGAATGAGTTGAATACGTTGGAGATATGTGATTCTGAAGAGTTGGAATGTTTGATTGTTACTAGTAGTCACTCGAGTGAGGTGGTGACTCTTTTGTCCAACTTGCATACGTTGAAAATCAACTGCATGGCAAATCTAAAAGCTATATGGCATTGTTTTCTACCTGTCAATGGGCCTTTTAAGAACTTAGAGAAGCTGGATTTGAGTGTTTGTCCACGGCTGACTTCTCTCTTCACGTATGTTGTTGCTCGGAGTTTGGTACAATTGAAAATATTAAAAATATCAAGATGTGATGAACTGAAGCATATAGTAGCAGATGATGACAAAACGGGAAAAGGTCAAGATGAATTCACCACAGGACATCCTGTACAAATCTTCCAAAATCTTCAGGAAGTAGAGGTATATAGCTGTCCAGAATTAAAACATATATTCCCAGCCAACATTGTTGGAGGCTTAACTCAATTGAAAGTTCTCGAGATAAAAGAATGTGACATGTTAGATCAAATAATTTCAGATATTGTTCCCTTAACAGACCAGGATAGAAAAGAAGAACTTGATGAAATACTTGAGCAAGGTAAGCATCCATATTTCTATAGCCCTTCAATTTGTGAAGCATAGCCTAGTTACATTTTTCTTTTTTCATTTATAAATATGACTCTTTAAATTGTGGTTTTATAATTGCTTTTCAGGAACTTTATCCAACCTTGCAAACCTTAAGATAACATGTTGCGGGAATTTAGACTCAATTTTTACAGCATCTATAGCTAAGACCTTGACTTCTTTGGAAGAATTGTACATACATGGGTGCAAAAGTTTGAAAGATATAGTAACTCACAAAAGGGTCAATAAAAATCAGGAGGAAATCATTGTTGAGGATGAGCATGATTGTCAGAGTGATATTTCAATCTTCCAAAGTTTGAAAAAGCTACATATCAGTGAATGTGACTTATTGGAGGGTATATTCCCCGTTTCTTTTGTTGGAGAATTGAATGATATAACAAATAAAGAGGATGCTGATTTGAAAGACTTCTCTAGTCGAAATAATACTCAAATTGAGCTTCCTGCTTTACAAGTACTTGAACTTGATCATATTAGGGATAGAATAATTGTTGGTAGTTATCATGTGATATGTCCATCTTTAAGAACACTATCATTGAATATTGGGAGATATGTTGGATTTTTCAACATAAATTGTTCAACAGATGCTTCAGAAGCTACAAAAAGAGATTTTATTGCAATCAAGGTATGAAAAACCATCATTTACATTGTTTCTCTCTCTGTGAATTTACAAAAATTAATTTAAATATTTGAATTTCAAGAAGATGTTGTGCTAAAAGTAATAAATGGTCTTACATGCCGTGCTACTAGTGACCTGAATTCATACCATAGGTGCAACATAAATTTTTAATATTTAAATATTGGGATAGATTATTAGGAATAGATTAACTTTGGAAAATTATTTTCTTTTCAACTTTCTCTTAATAGGCTAAACAGAAAGCAAGTTTTGCTAACAAACAAGTGAATCTAAATAATTATAGACTTTGCTTAAACTTTTATCTATACGAACAATACCATAGAAATTGAATACATTAATAATCAGAATTATGATAATATTTAGTTTGGTTTAAGAAGTATTTTTGGTGTATAAATTGCAGATATCGAACTCGGATGTTGTTTCCCCGGTTGAAAGTGTTGAAGAATGTCTTTCAAAACAACCACATGGTTTGAACTTGATTATGATACACAATATTAGAGAGATTAAACTGAAAGGCTTTGATAAGGCAAGGTACCTTTTTAAACTGTCCATTGCTTCATCATTGATGTTGGAAATTTTGAGAATTTCGGAATGTGATGGACTTGAGTACATTATAGACACTGATGATGAATATGGCACAGAGAATATGAAGGCTATCTTTCCTAACTTAAAAGAGCTCTCAGTGTATAAATGTTTGCGGTTGAAATATATGTTTGGCCAATATCACGAAGCGAATAAGGATTATAAGGAGATTCATATTCAATTATCAGCATTGGAAATACTCTCTCTTAATGATCTACCAAACTTTGTTAGCATTTGTTCTACCTACACTCTCACTGTGACGTGGCCATCTTTGAAGAACTTTCATTGTAACAGTTGTTTCTATCCCTTTTATGGTTCTGTTAATTGTTTGACGATTATCACAAGTACGAAGGTAGTCTTGTCTTTTTTTTTTTTTTATGATTATTAATTGTTTTTCCTTTGTATTTTCTATTTGGAATTTTTTAAAATTTTTATTAATATTCTGCAGGATCCAAAAGGGATTCTAAACCATTTTCTCACTTTGCAAACTCTAGCCATATGGTAATCTGGACTAGTATATATTTTTTTCCTTAATGGACATGAAATGACTGAGCAACAAGTGAGTTTAAGGTTAAGGTATTTGTCGTTGGAATATCTACCTCAAATGACTTATATTTGGGTGGGTCCCAAGAATTCATTTACTCTCCAACATCTTACCACATTAAGAATAAGGGGATGTGGAATGTTGGAAGTAATCTTTCCTTCCTGTGTTTTAAGAAGCTTACCAGAGTTGAAGAGCCTAACCATATCAGAATGCATGGAACTGAAGCAGATTGTAGGGTGTGAAAAAGAAGAATCAAAGAATTCTTTTACCTTTCCAAATCTTAAAAGATTAGAAATATTTGGATGTCCAAAATTAGAAGTAATATTTTCGAAGTATGTTTTAAGATGCTTACCAGAGTTGAATCTTCTGCAGATAAGAAAATGCGAAAAATTAAAACAAATAATTGAAGAGGATGAAAAATTGTCTAATCATATTTCTCCTCAACCATGCTTTCCAAAACTAGAAGCGCTGTATGTTGGACATTGCCACAAGATGAAAAGATTATTCTCTGGATCTGCATCTAATGACCTTCCCAATCTTCATCTTTTGATCATAAATGGAGCCTTTGAACTAGAAGATCTTGTTGGATGTGAACAAGGAAATTGTGACGAGATAGGAAAACCTAAAGCTGAGCTTCCAAAACTCAAACTTCTAATATTTATGCATCTTTCAAACTTCCACCTAGATACTCATTTGTCGAATTTAAAGAATTGTGTTGTCTACAATTGTCCAAAACTCTCTTTCACTTCAACAACTACTCTTGGGAAGCTTATTGAAAATTTTCCTTATGAAGAAGGTAAATACTATATGGAATCTTTAAATATAAACTGTTATTGGAAGGTTGCAAGATCTTTAATTTTAAGCTTTAGTAATTTTCGTTATGAAGAAGGTTGCAAGATATTTTTTTGTTGTTGCAGATTTTAAAAACACTGTAGTTGAAAGATGGGAGTTTGAGGGCATCATAAGATTATTGAATGAAGATTCGACTATGAGCGGTAGCAGTGAGTTCCGTTCATCACAGGTCAGAACCAACCAATTGCTTGTTCACTCATTCAAATGGTTGACTCTGCTCCCTCATTCAGAAAAAAATACCATTGCTTGTTCCCTTTCAAATTGCTTGAGGTTTATCTGTATATATTTGCATTTCATTCTAAAAAAACGAATGAAAATTATTCTACCAAATTACACATCTTCTATATTTGTGCAGTTTGAATTAGATAATGTCATGATATGCCACCTAACTAAGAATCAGCTAGATATTAGTAAACTAGATATGGAGAAGAAGGAAGTATAGTAATGAAAGTTACCTTACAAAACTTATCTTTAGAATTGTAAAGTGTATTGATGAAACTAACTACACTTACTGGAAAAGTTGTAGCGTTAGTGAGACTAGCAGTGCCGACTATAGTATTTTAGCACTTACAGGCCCACCTTCAATTTGTATTGGATCTTCTCTGTGTAAAATACCTTATCATATATGTGCAATAATTACTAAACTTAAAAATGGATTTTGTGATAGTAAGAAAACCACTAAAAGTCGCTCATTTCTCACATGATGAACATTAAAAACTAATGGCCCACTCAATCATATTTTTTCAATTTGTGATACACAGGAGACTGGGGATATAGGAAATGAGAGTATTAAAGCTGCAGCAGAGGGAGCTAAGACAAAATCTTTGTCAAATGGTGTTGAAGACATTAGCATTGAAGGTGGTGCTGCAACTCACATTGAGTCTAGTGGCATGGACATACCTGCACTAGATTCAAATCTTGTTGAACAAGATGATAAGATGAATGAAGGAAAGCCAGGAATAGTGTTAAGTAAAGGAATCCAAATAGAAGAAGGGTTGAATCTTTTGGATAAACAAGAGGGAATAGATACTGTTTCGAACAACAACAGTGACATTTCTCCAGGTTTTTTATTTCTTTTTATGTCATTTCCATCCTATATTTTCATGTCACCCTCTCAAACTTTTCACAGCTTCTGCAGATATCCGTATAAGATTGGGAGAATATAAACATTTTGTTGAACTGGATGATGGACAAATATCTCTTCTGGTGGAGGCAATAACAACATATCCTCATCTTTGGAATGCTTGTGAGAGGTTTAGTGAGCGCTTTCAAGCTTGGAGGTTGAAAATTTTGGCAGATATGTTGTTGCTCCTTCAGAAGGAAAGTGGGGATAGTATGATTCCTCAAAGAGAAAAAGAGTTCCATAAATTATGTGAAGAAGCTATTGAAGTTGGATTTGAGAGTTCATGGGTAGAGGAAATGCGTCAACGTGTTGTGGCTAGGGATCATAAGCTGGGAGAGGACATCGCTAATAGACAAATAGATGAGAATTCTAAGAGGTATGACTATTTAAATTCTTAACTGTGTAAAGTAAAGAATGAATCTTACTGACTTTATTGATGCCAATTAAAACGTATATATGTTTCTCTTTAGATATACATTTGATGGAAATGCAATTCTTACAAGATAAAATAGCATCAGTTTCTGACTATTTTGTTCTTTGGCAAGGAATTTAAGTTTGTTACACAGATCCCAGGCTTTTGAACAAGGTGATAGGCCTAATAAAGATTGGGAAGGAACTTCTACGTGGAAGATCCAAAATGTTAACAGTAGCTTGGAAGAAGGTTCTAACTTGGTTGATAAAGAAGGTGAAATAGGTGTTGTTTCTAAAGACCGCATTGTGGATCCGAGAAATGAAGAAGCAGAGGAGGAATTTGTGAGTTTAATAAATCCTTTTGAGTATTGGATGAAATAAAAATACTGATTCTATTGTGATTTTACACCTGTTCATTACTTTGTTTAGGCATTGGTGAACTCGCAACAGACTCGTGAACCGTGTATGATGAACCAGAAAAAACCACTTGGTGAAATTTCTCAGGTAAATGACAAACAAAAACACCTTAAATTATTCTAAATTAATATGCATGTCCACTTGCCATCAACAATAAGCCTGTTAGTACGTCATAGAAAGAAGTCAAGTTTGCAACTTATTACACCAAAGCTACCTATCATTTGTTCTTGCACAGAGTCTTGAGCAAGTTGCTGTAAAGGAAACCATAGCAAAGAACACCAATATGGCAGCTTCATCAATTCTTTCTGAATCCGCCAGCTCTCAGTTGGACTCAAAAGTTACTTTCCAAAGTAAATCAATTCCACATGTAAGTTATTTTTTGCAATTCACATTTCCCAAAACAAAAAGTGCTAAATTTCTAGGTTGGAATTTAAATTTAATATATTTGTTACTCATACATTTTACACCTACTCATCATCATTTTATTTATAGGCCACCAANATATATATATATATATATATATACTCAATTAAATAAAGATTATATCTCCTAATAAAATAAATAACTATAATGATAATATCTCAATATTCCCTTAAGTTGGAGTATGAAGATCTTGATGCCTAACTTGCGCAAAAGATTTACTTTCCCTTCCCACAATGAAGGACAAAATCCTTATATTTCGTCGATGAAATTTTGTTCCTCATGTCCTTCCTAAATTTATTTTCATATTTTTTTTCTTGCACCACCATGTGGAGACATTGCCTCACCATTCACACACCACTCACATTGTCTCCCTCCTTTTCATTACAATCTCCACACAATCTTGCTTAAAAATTGTTCTTCTTGCAAGGCAATATATATGCACCCGTTTTTCTAATGGGTGACCCAAACGCTTATGCCACATATCAATTAACAAATTCCTTTCTAATGTCAATGCATGCACCTTCGGTATACAATGAGAAAAAAAAAGTCCATCTATTCGTTCACATGCTCCAATCAACTTCCTCGTTGGGCGGTCCTGCACAATGCATTAGCATTAGGAAATTAAACCATACAATCAGAAACATTAATTAGTTGTGATATAGAAATTAAATTGCAATTTAATTGAGGCACAAACAAAACATTATCAAGTTGTAAACCACCATTCAAATCTCACTACCCTTCTTCATAGCAATGTTATTCTTTCCATTCGACAATCCTACTAGTATGTTTGTAATATTTTCACATCTATCAAACAAGATACATTTCTTGTCCATGTTATGAGGCTCCATTGTCAATAATCCAAAGATTGGCATGCCTACCGATAATGGTATATACTTTGTTTCGGGAACATTCAAAATGGCAACAAGTTATTGCCATTAAGCTTGAGTGATGTTAAATATCTCTATTGACTTACCTGATAGGACCTGAAACTACACACCTTTATTGCTACTGCTCTTTGTTGGCATACACAAAAGCATTGTTTGTGCCCTTACCACACCCTCCAGAATGGTCTGGGATTCTCGATCACCCTAAGGTCAATCCTCCTAAGGTCAATCCTCCCACCAGTCGAGGAACCTGTGAAGTTGAAAACATGAGCTTGCATCATCTTCATCTCTATTGCAATGAGTATAAAATTTGTCCACATGCCCTCTAGAATGACCTAATACTTGATCACCCTGAGGTCAGTCCCCCCACTAGTTGGGGAACCCATGAAGCTGAAAACACGATCTTACATTATGTCTCCTTTGTTGTAGTGAGTACAAAGTTTGTCAGAATTATCCATACGTTTCGATTTACCTCATGCATCAGATGTAGTTCTAAAAACCATGACATTTTCATCATGAAATACACTGGAAGATTGTTCCCACAATAGTCATTCGTCGTGTATGACACATTAATATGCTTGATCAATGGTTGGTAATGGATCTTGAGAAAACAAATTCAAACAAATGGTCACATAAGCCTCATCTAGACCATTAAGAAAATGATGCAAGTAATCTTTTTGCTTGAAAAGTAGTCGCTTGTTTGGCTGTCGCATGTACATTTTGCAAATTTGTAAGTCAGTTTTTTTCATAAGTCACAATCCCATAAACTAGATAGATAACGAAAGTAAGTCGACATCTCTTCACTCTTGTATTGTTTACATTTTCCTTAAGATGTCCTTAATTGGAAAATACATGTTTCGTTCACAATGGATAAACGTTGTATGAGATGTATCCATAAGGATTATGCACCATCTTAATAAGAAAGGGTAAAGCATAACAATGGCTCGATAATGTTGAGCAACCACGATACGAGCATCGAATTCACTACTATCTAGCCCTCCAATTTCTTAAGAGTTTTTGGTTTCAGGACTATCCCTTTCACAAAACACAGATTACTCAGAGTCGAGGTCCTGGCGGCAGAGGGCGAGGAAGCCGAGGATGAGGTAGACGTGGCCGAGGTAATTTTGAGAATGATAGTGAAAAGCAAACCGGTTAACAGAATTGACGTGACCGAGGACAAAGGAAAGGCTGAGCAGATCGATTAGGAGTGGAGTGTTTTAAGTGTGGCAAGTATGAACACTATGCAAATGAGTGTAGATAAAAGAAGTTCTACCATTGTGGTAAGTCCGGTCACATTGCTAAATTTTGTTGAGTTGAGAAGAAAAGTGAGAGAAACCTTCTTATAGAAGAAGATAAAGAAAAGTGTGAAATCTTGTTGATGGGAAAGAGCTCAGATGTAGTGGACATGGAGAGCCCAATCCCAACAATGGATGAAGGGATCTCTGTAAAAGATGCAACAATTGTGGAGAAGGAAGACCTGGAGAAAGAACTCAAACAAAAAGATGAAGAGATTCAGTGAATAGGAAGGCTTTTAGATGAAGCTAATGAAATTATGAATAAGCAAAGGGTTGAGCTTGAAGATCTGAAGAAGGCGACTCTTGAAAAAAAAGAGAAAGCATTTGGTGTTCTTGAACCAAACGAAGAGGAAGATGAAAATGTTGAGAAGAAGCCGATGAAGATGTCGGCCAAGATTGTTGAGAAATTGCCTAAGGTTAGAAACAAGTTGGTCAAGGATATTGAGAAGTCGAGCATAACAAAGTCAGTCAAAGGATTAAAGAGGTCAACCAAGATAAATGGCAGGAGGGCCATAAAGAAACTCGGTGTGGGATGATGCACATGGAAAGCGGAATGAACGAAGGAATAATTTAAGTTTATGGCGGAGTTTGTTGGGATAAACTTAAATTTTAGGGTTTTATTAATAATTTTGTTTAAATCTTATTTTATTAGTTTTGGGTCTAGTATATTTAGTTTGATTTTGATAGAGATAAAATAGGGATAGGTAGTTATGATTTTCTGTTTATCTAGGTACAATATTATTTTATGATAAATTAAACAGATTTTATTTTTAAGATAATTGATATTTTATTTTTATATTTTATTTTTATTCCCGTATTATTGTAAGTGTCATCAATTATCAATGAATAGAAAACTTAATTTTAATAAAATATCTGAGTGTAACGTGATATTTTCTTAACACATTCAACTAAATAAAGACAAAAAAAATATCAATCCTAAAATTATTCATCAAATAATATCCATAATATTAATTAAATAATGTCCATAATTATGTCTATCAAATAAGGTCCATAATTATGTATGTTTATAATTATGTCCATCAAATAATATCCATAATTATGTTATAATAATATATTTTCTAATTAATAATTAAACAATGTTCACAGTTATGCCCATCAAATAATGTCCATGACTAAAAATATATTTTCTAATAAAAAAATAACCATTATGATAACATCTTAATATCTTTTTATTTAAATTACTTTTTGGAAAATATTTCAATTTTAGAAATATTTTTCAGTCTTAAAAATTAGTTATTATTTTGATTTAGAGTACATCAATAAAATAAAATAACAAGTTCTTTTCTATAACATATCTCTCGTATATTTCCAAAATCACTAAAATTTTAAAAAATGGTATCAAAGTCAATAGTTTGTCATAAATTAGATAATTAATTATGATAAAAATAACACAACCCAACAACATGATAACAATGACAATATAAGTAAATGTCACCATACACTTGAGGAGAAATATACTATATAAAATGAACTCACTCTTGAGAGGAAGATTGTAAAGAATAATCTAAGTATAAGTCTAAGGTCTCACATTCGGTAGTGTTAGAAAATGAGACTTTTTCTAGATACTCTAGGATCTTATATCTTATTTGTTAAGTAATGTAAGATTGATATTAATTAAAAATCTTGTTTTGTGGGAAAGTTGATTGTATGATTAAGAGTAATAGCATTTATTGTTTGTAGGCTTACATTTCTCTTATTAATAAAAATATAACCCACTGCACACACATATTGTAGGAAAATTCTCAACAAAAACTCTGTAACCTATTTTATCTCTTATTTTACAACCTTTACAAGTTAAACACAATATAATATAAGAAAGAAGCTTCATAAATCTATTGTCTTTAAGATCTTGGGTTGAAAATGTTGTTAATGATTTAGATTGAACTAAAGGTCACATTTATATAATCTCTCCCTAATAACCTCTCAAAAGAAAAACAACAACACAATTTAACTTCTACTAAAACTTATATGATTCATCCAAATTGATATTAAGAAATTCAATGCTTTGCGACTATTATGGCTTGATGCTACCTAACGTTTATTTTGTTATATTTTCTTCTTATTCCTGTCCAGAGTGAAATTAAGAGCAGCCAAATTGAGGCGAACATTGCTAAAGAAAGTGAAGGTCATCATAAACTCATTGAAGACTCTGGGGGCAATGATATGATACCAATTGCTTTGGGGAAAGAGGGTGAAGATAATCTAGTTCTAAAGACCCTTGTTGAGTTGGAAAAGTATCTGAAGATGTCTCTCAAGGACATAGTTAGTTCTGAGACTAACACTCTCCATCTTTTTTCTACTCTTAATTTTCTGTCCAACCTTCCTTTCAAAGATGTGACTCTATCAGATGGACTCAAACATATTATAGAGACTATGCACCAACACTTCCCAACCATTCTATGCTCCTTTAAGCAATGCTTTGCTACCATTGACAAGTTGGCAGAACTTGAAGCTCGTCAGAGTGAGGTGGTGACTAAAATTTCTGAGGCAGAGAATTTCAATAATGAAGCTCGACTGAAGGAAGTGGTTTTGAAGGAACAAATCATTAGGTTGAAGGAAGAAATAAAAGTTTGTGAGGCTGCCTTATCATCTCTAGATGAGGGAAAAAATAAATGCATTGTGGAAACTATAAGGTACAAAAAAGAGTTTGAAAATGTGAGAAAAAACAAATCTCAAATGGTGGAAGATCAAAGAAAATTCGAGCAAGAATTGTTTGAAGTGGCTTATAAATGGTCAGCTTTGTGTAGTGAATATGAGCTAAATTGGATGGCTGTAAGAAGTCCCTCGTGAGGGTTTTCGTTGTTCATTGTTTTTAAGACTTCCAACTATACTATAATGTTGAGACTTCCAACTTTTTCGCGTAGCTTGGTGTCCTAAAGAAATTTAACGTACGTTTGTTACCTTGTTTGTTGTGTAAGATGTTACCAATAAGGAGTATTGGTAAATCTTGAAGAAATTTGTTTTGATGATGCTACAAGAAGTTTTAGTTGAAGAAGATATTATAATTAGTTAAAAGCAAGTTGTAGAAATTAAATGTAGTAGGAAATTCTTGTAAACCTTGTAAAACTTGCATTTTTAACTTGCAATAATCGATTATGATTAAGCAATAATCGATTATCACAAGTCATACTTGAATAATCGATTATCACTTCATATAATCGATTATCACATCTTTGAAAACCTGTAACGGACTTGAATAATCGATTATCACTTACAATAATCGATTATTCATGGCAGTTGGGAGCTGTCCTTTGGCATTCAGTGTACTTGGCTTTATATTTTGATTTGGAGAAATCAGAAGGTAACGTTGTTGAACAGAAGCTCTTGCAGAATACTGTTTGTTAGAGGAAGTTCTCAGAAGCTATAGTTCAAGTTCCCTTGCTTGGTCTCGTGAACAGGAGAGGCTCGCGTGTCGTGTGTCGATAGTCGGAGCAAGCTCTCTTCGAGTTAGCAAGGTGCTCTGCCTGGTCTCGTGAATAGGAGAAGCTCGTGTTTCGTTTGTCGATAGTCGGAGCGGTTCTCTTCGAGTTGGCAGAGTGTTCTTCTTCCGGTTCGTTCGTCGAAGGAAGGTTTATTTATCTGCTTTATTCACTATTTCTTGTAATCTGTTAAATAACTTTTTAGTGAAAAAGGTTAATCACTATTTATAGTGATTAACGACTGGACGTAGATTCTTTTGAATCGAACCAGGATAAAAATTGCTTGTGTGATTTTCTATTCCCTACACTTTTTATCTTTTACGCATATCAACTGTTTGATAAATTTTCTCTAAGAAAATTGTTTTTCTAAAACGGACCATTAAACTTGATTTGTGACCGTAACACGCTTTCTAAGTATTTTATTCCGCTGCGCGACTCTATAACGGTACCGATTGTTCCAACATAAGAGGCTTCTCTTGGTGAGACAAAGACAAAACATGTGTTATGAAAAACCAAAAATACTATTTGTTCTATTATGTAACTTATAGTGATCAAGTGTGTCTCATTGTTTCTTTCTGTTCCATTCCTTCAATAAGTGCCTTATATATTTTGTGTAAGGACTTCCAATTCTACAATTTTACTCCTATTAGTGTGTCACAATAAAGCATCTAAGGAATAAATTGTTTTAGAATTTATGTTTAAGAGAAACAAGTAGAAGACTTTTGGAATGGAACAAACCAATCCATTTGAAGACTTTTTTGAAACTTTAGTGAAAAAAACATATTTGAAGACTATAACAAACCGATTTACATCAAGTATGGAGCTCCTAATTTTTCTTTATCAAGTTAAAATTTAAAATTACTATTCACTCGTTTTACTTATAACAAATCTATTGTTAATTAGTAATGAGTTTTTTTATTCAAAAAATATCATTTACCTTTTAACGTACAAAGTTAATGATATGTCTATAATGTCATAAAATAAATGTATTAATGATTAAAAATGTTAAAAATAATCTAAGAACCAGTCAAAGGTTTACATTGAATAAAAATGGCAAAACTTTAAATATCATATAAAAGAAAAAACTCATAAATCTATTATTTTAAGGTTTTGAATTAAAAATGGTACCAAATGTCTTATATGAGATAAATGTTTCTTGGAAAATGAATCTCATCCTCTTGGAATTATATTAGTTGAGGAAACTATGTAGAATATGAAACTTAGCTTAATCATTTCAAGAATATCGCAAATCCAAACAAATTACAAGATTTTCGTCAAATTTAAAAATTACCAATTAATACAATGTCATGGATTTTAAACATTTACTATTATGATTCCAATTGACCATAGCAACTTAAAGTGAAAAACCAACAACACAAAGTTATGTACTTTTAAATCATAACATTTCTAACTCTATTTGTTACTACACTAATGCAAAAATATCATAACATTTCTAACTCTTCTTGTTACTACACTGATGCAAAAATATCATTCTATGATGACTTTCTATAATGGTTATACCTAGAACTACTATAAAATGTTAGCATGATGACAATTTCGTAATAAGGTTTTTTTTACATATCTAGGTAAGTTTGGTCCATAAATTATGAAATAGGAAAATTCGAAAAAAATTACGAGAATAGACAAGTTATGAAGCCTCCGTATGACTTCAAATGAAGAAGTCGTTTGCCCTTAAAGGACTTATGTTTTGATTGCGTTGGAAGTGCCCTATAATTAGTTACAAGTATCCTATAATCGATTATAGTGCATATTATCGAATTGGAAGTCGTATTGCCTTAAAATAACTTTTTATTCGAATTGAAAAGTTGTTTTGAGATAAGATGACTTCCAATTTGGTAATATGCATTGTAACCGATTATAGGACACTTGTAATCAATTAGTAGGAATTTTTTTTTAGAACGAGCTACTATAATCAATTACAATTAAAATGTAATTGATTACAAGTGTGTTTTGTTTGTTATCAAGTAGAACATATCTTGTAATTGACAAAAATTCCAATTGATTTAATGATTTGTGGTATATATTTATGGTAATTATGCTATATCAGTTTATAAGTATTAAGTATGTGTAGATATTGATCATTGATTAAATCATTTATTTTAATTGATAAATAACATTTAATTTATATATTGTTGGTCATTGATAAATAACAATATTATCGGGAACAAAAAAACATAAAATAGTAATACATAAATGTGAAAGTAATTCATAAATAGATAATAATTAACATGGTCCAACTGAGCATGTACAAAAATTTGAAGTTCAAATAAATACGTAATAAAATTAAATATTCCAAAAAGGAGATATTCAATCTGTTTAATACATGATTCATTTAATGTAAATGAATTCTCATATCAAGCACAAACAAGATGTAGATAAAATAATTGTTATGTCATTTGTTATGCAAGAAACTATAAAATCATTCTCTTGTTCATCATAAAAAACAAAGATATAAATGGTAGGTTTATAACCCTTTATATGATGACCAATAATCTCTCCTTTTTTTTTATGATGACCAACAAGAAACATGTTTTCCAGTTACTCTCCTCCTTTGGATATTAACAAAAAATGGCAGAACAAGTAACATGGAATATGTATGTGCTAAAGAACATCAAAAGTTACATATAGACCATTTGATAATATGATGCTCCCCCCCATCAAAAAGAGATATAGCACTATTGGCAATATGTGAGTAGTATATGATTGATATTAGAGTGTGTATGAGAGCTCAATGTACTAATTTGAAGTAGTATATCAAATATATTTCTCAGGTATCAAAGTAAATATACTGATTTCACATGAATATAACATTTTATATTAAGTGCATTGTTCAATACTCATGTAATGTCTACAATGTAGATGAAACAAAGAATATTATTGTGTAAATGATAGTAAGATATAAGCTATTATGCAGTAGAATATATTATACATGTGTTAGCAAATCTACAGCAAAGTTACAAACTCATAATAATGCATATTTCACACTATATGATGGATTTCCAAGTAAGTTTGAGTTATATGCAACATATGATATGTCCTTCAAGCCAAAAATGTATAAAATGACATTTAAGACTAGGTCAGTAATTCAAACATTCAGTTAAAAGCACATAAATCAATTTTAGACACATAATCGATTACATTATTAATGTGACATATTATAAACTACAGTACAAATTATTTAACAAATTATGCAAGTGCTTAATTTGTTAAAACTCGCAAATATGATTATACACAGTGTATTGGATCATGAAACCTGTTGTGATCACTTTATAACCTACAAGAACAACTCTCTCAGCATTGTACAATGTTAGTATCACAATAATCATGATTTGAGCAGCAATTATATACCAATGCATGATCAATGAATGAAATTGAACATTTGAGCACCTGACCAAGTGATATATCAGATTCAGCATTCAGAACAGAGTCAATACACTCATTCAATGTGTTCATTCAATCTCAGACTTGATTCAATCAATTCATTCAGATATTGTGGATATAGGAATTAACTCTATCATCCAAATTATATTAAAAGTCAAACATAAGACATTGTTCACGAAACATAGTAATTTCAAACAAATTACCCATTCAAACAATTTAAGATAAAAAAACAAACAAATTGTTCAAACACAAACCCTTATGGCAGAAATTACAATTTTCCCAAAACATAATTAAAACTAAATCATGTCCCTAAGTAATATATTGTCATTACTTTCTTCTTCCTCTTCACTCTCTTCTTCTTGATCATTCCCATCTCCTTCTTCACCATCATCTTCCATGGTTTCTCCTTCATCATCATCATCATCATTTCCTCATCCTCACTATCATCATCTAGACTTTGAATCCCTAACTTTTGTTGAATAACAACAATGTCTTTATCTAACTTATTAAATCGAGACTGGCAAAGAGTTGATAATGAGTGCATTTGCTTGACCATAAACTTCTCACACTCAATTTTTGGTCTGAGAGATGTAGTAATTGGTGAAGAACCAATAGGAACAACCTCTTCTTCATTTAGGTTTTCATCCTTGAAGACCCAGTTGTCCTCACCAAACCTTAATCCCATATGATGTAAAGCTTTTTTGTCAACCAAAATCCTCTTTCCATATGATTTATAGGTTTCTTTAGCACAATCAACATTGTAATGTTGAAGGACTTTAGAAATGAAAACAACATATGGTATACTAGCAGCATCCAGCCTAGTCACCTTGATCATGTTGTCCAAAATGGCAGCAACCTAGTCAATTTGGATATTTTGTTTTTGGACATGAATCAGACATATATCATTTGTAGTTAGCTGGGCATGATTGCTCCCCCTTGGAAGAAAAATCTAAGCTATAACGAATGCACAAAGAAGATTGTCTCTTTTAATTCCTCCTGTCTTG